TGAAGGTGCTAGCAGCAGGCCGAAAGTAAGAGGAGTGCCCGCGCCATTACCACTAGCTGTAGTTTCAGCAGAAGCATAGTCCAGATAGTCGTTGGCCCGAGCTGCAGGAATTAGAGCCGCCGTTGCCGTCGGGACAGTCGTGATCACTCGTGTTACAAGTCCGTCCCCGCCCGTGCAGGCTGGCGGGTCAGCCAGACAACAGCAACGTATGGAACATGGCTTAGAACAGGGCGGAACCGACGTACAAGTACGACAGTTCGAACATCAGCAGTACGAGAACCGTCTTCCCAAACAACTGAGTAGTTGAATCGTAGGCGAACATGCTGGAATGCACAACTGTGGAACATATGAGGAAGTATGGGAAACGTGCGACGTACATTAAACACCCGCATTGTTGAACACGTACGCATGATGCAGTAAACAGAACGTATGTTGTTCATAGTTTGTGCTCCCAGGCGTCGCTCCTACTTTTTCTTTTGTTTCACACTCACTTATCATTATTGTTTTTGTTTATAAACTCTTCATCGCATCGGGACACTCCTTTCCCGCCTTTCCCGCCTCATCAAACTTCCATTACAACCGTCCATCCTACCTATACGATCACCCTGCGGGTGAGAAGGAGGTTGGGGGGGAGGGGGCCAGCAATGGGCAACAGTGGTGAGTGTTGCTCTGACGATGCCAGTGGAGATCGTTGCGTTGCCGCTCGCTCTTAGGATCTCACTGTCGATCTCACTATCCATCCCACTATCGATCCCACTATCGATCTCGCTATCGATCTCACTATCGATCTCGCTTTCGATCTCACTACTCATCTCACTATCGATTCCACTATCGATCTCGGTATCGATCCCACTCGATCGATCCCACTATCGATCTCACTATCGATCTCACTATCGATATCACGATCGATCTCACTATAGATCTCACGATCGATCTCTCACTATAGATCTCGCTATCGATCTCACTATCGGTCTCAGTATCGATCTCACTATCGATCTCGCTATCGATCTCACTGTCGATATCACCACGGGACACCACGGGACAACGACGGAACACCGGCGGGACACCAGCGGGACACCAGCGGGACACCGGCGGGACACCACGCGCCACCGGTTGCCAGGCGGAGATCTTTTTGGTCCAGCCGCGGCCCAGCCACGACGGGACACCGGCGGGACACCAGCGGGACACCAGCGGGACACCAGCGGGACACCAGCGGGACACCACGCGCCACCGGTTGCTGGGCGGAGAACCTTTTGGTCCAGCTGCGGCCCAGCCACAGGAGAATTCCTACTCCCCCGCCCACGCAGCTTCGCCTCGCCCGCACGCACGGCACGAACACGAAACCGAAATCGATTTCCCAGTAGGGGGGGGGCTCTCCGTTCCACTTCGATCTCACCCCCCAACCTCCGACGAGAACGCCGGTGAGAAGACATGTGTCCAGGGCCCCCGGAGCGTCAAGACCTGTGGTCGGTGCGGCTGCGATGGGCATCGTCCCTCGTCGGTTCCTCGGTCTCTCTCCTCCCTCCTCTTCCTCCTCCTTCTCCTCCTCCTTTCCTCGATCCGTGCTCCCGTCGATCTTCGATCGTCAAGCGTCGATCCTACGACAACGCAGCCCAGATGACAGGCATCCGAGGCCCCCCGAGAGCGTGACTGGCTGTTCTCTTGCGCCTGCGAGGGTCCCCTCGCCTCTCGCCCGGCCCCCTCTCTCTTGGAGGCCGTTCCGAGCCGCCTTGGGGCCGTTTGGAAGCCTCCGCGGACCTCGCTTGGGTCAAGTCGGGCCTGTCCTTACGTCAGGCGCGTCCCCCTACAGGGGGATTTTCGACGAACAATGAAAAAATACTTCAAAAAGATTCAAAACATAATCCCCAGACGATTTTTGGATTATTTGTTGATTATTTTTGGGGTATTTTTTTCGTCGAAAATTCCCCTGTAGGGGGACAGGCCCGACTTGAGCCTGTCCCTCCTGCAGGAGGAATATTCCCAAAACAGTCAAAGCATACTCTGGGGACGACTTTTTATATTTTTTTACCATCTGGGGGCACTGTTTGACTAGTCTTCATTGCTTGTCCGCCTGTAGGAGGACATGCCCGACCCAACGCTAAGGCCTCCCCCGAGATCCGACGTTGCAGAAAGTTGTAGCATCGCAGAGAATCATGCCAGGACCCCCAGACCCTATCTCTCTGCGTCATTTCTCGAGCCGGATCGATGCGTGAGGGTCCCGGGGCCTGTATCGAGGGAAAATGCCGGTGGTGAAAGAATTGCAGCGCCAGGATCTAAGGGTCTCTGGGCCCTCCTGGCCCGCCTGAGGCGGCTCTTGGGCCGTATTGGGGCCATTTTGGGTTGCCTTGGGCCCTCTTGGGGTCCGCTCGTCTTGTCTGGGGCGTCTCTTGGGCCGTCCTGGGGCCCTTCTCGGGGCCTGGCCCGTCTCGGGTCGATCTTCCTCAGGGGCTCCGCGGCCGTCTGCAGGAAGTGAGGCATCCTGCGAGGAGGGGAGCGATGTTTTCTTGGCGGGGCCCTCGCTGGGAATCCTGCTGGAGCCCTCGGTCGGCGTCTTGGAGGTTCCGTGGGCTGTCCTGGGGCCATCTCAGGGCGACGGGGTGCCATTCGGGATCGTCTAAAAACCCTTCGGAGCCATGTCGAGGCCATGGGAGCATCTCTGAGGCGGTCGAGGCCGCTGGCACTTTGCCCCCCCCGCCCGCCTCACCAACACTGACACAACAAACGGACTGGGCGGAGCTTCGGGGAAGGGGTTTGGGGAGGGGCCAGTCCTGCGCGCCATAGACCCCAAGGGGTCGGCGGATGTCCGAAGCTTTCGCCGACGGGTCCTACCGTGAGCAGACGCGCAGGTCACTTGGGTCTGTTCTTGGCCCTGACCCTTCGGCCTCAGCGACTGGGCAGGGATCTCAGGGGCCCATAGTCAGCGGACGGGCCCGACAAAGGCTCTCCTCCTCCTCCTCCTCCTCCTCCTCCTCCTCCTCCTCCTCTTCGTCCTCCTCCTCCTCTTCGTCCTCCGCCTTCCTTCTCCAACTTCTGGTGGTGGTGGTGGTGGTGGAAAACTCAGCGACTGGGCAGGGATCCCAGGGGCCCATCTCCAGCGCATGGACCCGACAAGGGCCCTGGCTTCCCAGGGGGTCCAGGGCTGGGTCGCTCTCCCAGCCTGCAATTGAGAGCAGGGCACCCGTCCGTACGTTTCATGGCTGGCCACACGTACCATGCGCACTTGTATGTCTTCATGCTTCAAGGGCGCCCTCGAGGGCGCGAAATTATTCGCGCTTCGCGGTTCGGCTCCGATTTCTCCTCATCCTCCTCTTTTTCCCCTGGGAGGCGGCGCGAGAGCCCGAAGTTATGCGCACTTCGCGCTTCACGCAGCGCGAAGCGCGAAGTTGGAAGCCCCTGATGCTTGTTACACACTCTTGATTCGCACTCGTATGGTTCGTCATCACTCCGCACTTGCATTCTAGATGCATGGTTCTGGCACACTTCAGTTCCACGTGTGGAAGCGTTTTGGGCGGGCCCCAGTGAGGTCTTTCCCGCAGCTGGCCGGGGTCGGCCGTCAGGGGCTCGCCTGGGGCTCCTGCCGGTGGGCTCCCGAGGCGCCTCGGAGCTGCGAGCTTCCCGTGGGTGCCCCCGGGTAGTCTTTCCGCAAGCCATCGACTCCGGGGAGGAGAGACAGCCGAGGGGTATCTAAGCCCTTGGGGGGTGCGGCCGGAACTCGGGGTTGGTGTCCCAAGAAGTCGTGCAGCGTTTTGGCAAGTTGATGGGTGGCTGCCAGGTGCAGCGCGCCAGAAGGCAGGCAGGGGTGTGGATTCGTTGTCGGCAGGTTGCAGTGTATGTTCTGATGTGTTTGTTTCTTTATACTCGCCTCCTATTATATACTCGCGCACTGCGCACACGTACACATGATGTGTGTTTCTGGTGTGTAATTCATTGTTTCATTAATTGATCAGTTTTATATGATCGGCACGCGCATATTTCCAGATGGCATTTGGTTTGCACTCGTGCTTCTGTTTTGCGCTACTGCCAATTGATCGTGGCTCTTGCCTGACTCGTGCTTCCTATTCACGTTTATGTATCACTCGTACTCCCGACTCGTCGGAATGTCGCACCCGAACCCCCAGCTTAGAAAAATGGAAGGATAGATCTACTGCTCTGCACGGCGCGGGAACTTTCAACACGGTGGGTGCATTTGGTAAGGAATGTGCCCGGGAGGCTTCAGACTCTGGAGGCCTCCTTAACTGATGAGGTCGGTAATGAGATTCGGGGGCCCCCAAACGGGGTGGTGACCACACCGTGCGGTGAGTCGGTGGGGATTCGGGGTCACCGCACGGTTACGGTTTTGGGACTCGGGTCGTTCTCCGAGGACGTCTCGGGCGACTGGGGCATCCGAGGTCCCAAGACCGTGCGTTGACGGAACGTGCGGTGAGGTCTTGCAGGATTTCAAGGTCACCCACCGCACGGTCTGTCACCACACCGTTTCGGGATTCCAAAGAGATCCGTGGCCGATCCACGATTCGAGTTCCACGGCCTCCAGACCCTCGATTCCTTGCCCAACGGCTCCTTGCCCAAATGCCCTCCAGCATCGGTTGCGCTGCGAGTCCCGCGCTCCTGGTGGTCACCGTCCACAGTGGCCGACGTTCGCGGCGGTGACGCCAGGATGGCGTCAGGAAAGGGGAGGAGGAGGAGGAGGAGGAACAGGAGCAGGAGGAGCAGGAGGAGCAGGAGGAGCAGGAGGAGCAGGAGGAGCAGGAGGAGCAGGAGGAGCAGGAGGAGCAGGAGGAGCAGGAGGAGGAGGAGGAGGAGGAGGAGGAGGAGGAGGAGGAGGAGGAGGGGAGGAGGGGGGGGGAGGAGGAGAAGGGGGAGGAGGAGGAGGAGGAGGAGGAGGAGGAGGAGGAGGAGGAGGAGGAGGAGGAGGCGGAACTGGAGACGCCGACCCGAGGCCGGCATCCTCGCGTGCCACCCTCGGCCCCGGCCGCTCCGCGGCGGCGGCCCGCCCCCCCGAGGCGTGGCGACGGTCATGGGGAGCCAGTCCGTCGAGGCCGGCGGGGGCCTCGGGACACTGGGCGGGCTGGGCTTTGCGCTCCCGCCGTCCCGCAGCAGAGGAGAAACGAGGAGGGGGAGGAGGAGGAGGAGGAGGAGGAGGAGGAGGAGGAGGAGGAGGAGGGGCAGGAGGGGCAGGAGGGGCAAGAGGAGCAGGAGGAGGGAGGAGGAGGGAGGAGGGCTGAAGGAGATGGAGTAGGGTTGCGGAGTGGGGTGCAGTGCTGGAAGAGTTGGAGGAGCAGGACGGCAAGAAAGCAGGAAGGGGGAGGAGCAGGAGGAGGAGGAGGAGGAGGAATACTAGCAGGTGGGAGAGGAGGAGTATTAGGAGGAGGATGAGGAGTTGGAGGAGCCAGAGGACGCGGTTGAGGAGGAGTATGTACACAATGATGATGAGGACGAGGGTCTAGAGGTAAGAGAAGGAGGAGTAAAAGGGATGCCCAGGGTCGGAAAGCGGGATGCACAGGAGGATGCCGCCGCCGCTGCCAGCGACGACGACGACGACGACGTGGAAAGCAAGACGTGGATGGTTGGTTGGACCTTCGCGGAGCGAGTGTGACTCCGCGGGCATGGTCTTTTCAGGATGGCTGCTGGGTGGGCAGCGGCACCGAGAGACCCCGAGCCGACCCGGCCCTGGCCGGCGCTGGGCGGCGGGAGTGGGGAGGAGGGGTTCCTGGGGGCCATGTTGGTATTTCCCCTCCTCCTTCCTTCTCCTTTTCTGGGGTCGAGCCCCACATTTTTGCCCCACCTCACGCCTCTCACCTTTTTCCCGCGTGCGCCCCCACCTCCCCGCGCAGGACAGGTTCTGCAGGTACCAGGCACCGCCCGATCTACCTCGAGTCAGTCAGTCCCGGGGGCCTCCCACGACGGAGCGGGACCAGAGACACTGCAAGTATGAGCGCGCCCCTCCTGATTAGGCGTTTTCCAAAGTGTCGTGCCGAGCGCCTGCTCCATTCGTTTCACACATTTGCAGTTCGTTCACGGATGGAGGGGGGTTGTTTTCAAAATGTGGTTTTCTTTCAATGTGGTTCTCGCTTCAGGCCTGACACGTTTGCAACCTTTTCATGGATCAAATGGAGGTCGCGTTTCGAGTGACATTCACATGTTGATTGAGTCCGTGCGTTGTCTCTTCCGGTCCTGGCAGCAGCTTCGCGGATGGAGGGCGGTTTTCTTTATCAGGATATAAATATTTCCCCCATCGCCGCGCGGAATTGTTTATGCGGTCCTCTTTTGAGACTCCGTTGCGAGCAAGGACCCGCGGCCTGAACGGACATAAATAGCACCGTTCGGATCCAGGGCCTTGTTTGTTCAGGAGGGAACTGTCGCATGAGGTTCCCCTCGAAATTCATGACCACCAGGGCAAGCCTGTGCAGCAGTTACATGGCGTGGGGGACGGTCCTCTTTTCGACGCGGGGACATCGGTGGAACCGAGTTGAAATGTACGTTCAGGTTTTTTTTTGCCCTGTGTCCCTGTCCACGCGCCAACAGGATGCGAGGCAGTTCCGATTCAATGTGGGGCCCTCGCCAAGATGGTGGGCCCAACGGTGCTGGTCTTTCCAGGGGGGCGCTTCTCGTGGTGAAACTTTGGACGGGAGGGTGTATTGCAGCATCGACTATGCATATTTGGCTTAAGCTGGTCCTCCTCATCCTCCTCCTCCTCGCCCCCCCACGCTCGTCAACTTTCCTGCCCATCTCATTTGCATCTTCGTCCTCTCATTTCTTGGGCCCCTGCTGCTGCTCCTCGTCCTCCCCTCTCTGTGTCTCTGTCTCTCGATCTCTCTCTCGTCCTCCCCCGCCTTTTTCCCTTCCGCCGGAGATTTCGACTGATGCCTCCAGATGTTCCCTCGAGGTCCCGCGGTCCCGAAGCAGCCGAAAGAGGGCGTTCCTCGACCCCTTTGCCCCCACCCGCCCCCTAGGGCACTGCAGGCGAGAGTTAGTTGCAGGCGCAAGGGCACTTATTCACCCCTTTCTTTTCAACGTTATCCCCGGATGGGGATAATGATGAGAACGAGTTGTTCCATTGATTTCGAGAGAGCTCTCAAACCGCTATGCGACGTTCTGAAACGGCCGCGGAACCCGATACATACTGTAAGCTCCAAGCTTGCAGTTTGCCGAGAATTTCGAGTTATCTCTACCCGATGGTGTTTTCTTCGTGCCGTCGTCTGAGGGTCTTGAAGGGTTCCTCGTTGCCTCTGCCGTCGTCGTCGTCGGCGGCGCTCGGCGCTCGGCGCTGGCGTCGTTGTCCCTCGTTGATCGCCGTGGTCGTCGTCGTGGCTTTCGCCGTCGCCATTGTCGTCGTCGTCGTTGTCGTGGTCGTCGTCGTCGTCGTCGTCGTCGTCGTCGTCGTCGTCGTCGTCGTCGACGCCGTCGTCGGCGGCGCTCGGCGCTCGGCGCTGGCGTCGCTGTCCCTCGTTGATCGCCGTGGTCGTCGACGTGGCCGTCGGCGTCGTCGCTGTCGTCGTCGTCGTCGTGGTCGTCGTGGTCGTCGTCGTCGTCGCCGTCGTCGTCGTCGTCGTCGTCGCCATCATCGTCGTCACCGCCGCAGGACCTCGTCGTCGGTGCCTCTGCCGCCCCCTCAAACATCAAGACCCCGGAGCTGTCCAAGGGGTGCGGTCGGACAAGATTGTTGATGCGACTCCAGGCGCGTGGCCGCGAGGGGCCCCCCGAAGGCCCAAAAACGTCGCAGGATTGCAACGCCGCGGCCATCAATCCTCGATCGTCGTCATGGCCGCCGCTGCCGCTGTCGTCGCTACCGTCGTCGTCGCAGCCGCCGCCGCCAGGCCAGAATCATGCCAAAATCGGTTTCGCATTCATGCTGGGGTGCACCCTGGCCAGTGCTCCGAGCCGCGGCAAGGAGAACCTCCAGCGCCGCTCGGGAATCCTGGAAGAAGGGCGGCGCCGTCGTCCGTCGATTCCAGACTTCCGACGTCTCCAGAGTTTGGAGCGTCGTCGTCGGCTCATCTTCGCGATGGGGGGAGTCGGGAGGAGGGGGGAGGCGTATGCGGGCCCGCGGAGAGGAGGAGGAGGAGGTGGAGGAAGAGATGGAGGAGGAGGTGGAGGAGGAGACCCGAGAATGTCCGTATCTGTTGCCCCCTTGGGGTGGTGGGACATCCGCTCCCCATGCGATGGATGCGTATGAATTCCAGCCTCGCAGCCGTCGTCGTCGTCATCGTCGTCATAGCCGTTCGTCGATGCCGTGAGTCCCATATCCGTCGTGTTCATCCCGACAAGCTGCTCGAGCTGCGTCCTGCTTTCGCTACGAGAACCTTCAGACACGACTGGGAACCCCCGCCAGGAAGACATCGACATGTGCGTCGTCGTCGCCGTTAGTCGCGATTGTCGTAACCTCATGCCCGTGAGAATAAACACTAGGGGATAATAAAGTTCGGGGTTCAGGGAGAGATAATAAAAGTAGCCCAGCAGACCTCAGCATAATTTCGAAGTAAGAGATGATCAAGAGGAGACCAAGCCGAGCACGTTTTGAGACATCCTTGGCGTTTAGTTTTCATAGAAAAATCCTCAACAATGGCTTATCTCGCTGGAGACATCCTCGACAAATCCCTTGTTTCGCTTGAGACATCCGCAAACTATTGCTTATTTCGCTTGAGACACAGTCAAACTATTGCTTATTTCGCTTGAGACATCCTCGAAATAATTGTGGTTTTCGCTTGTAACGTCCTCAAATTATTGCTGATCTCGCCTGAAACATCATGAAACTATTGCGTATTTCGCTTGAGACATCTTGAACTTATTGCTTATTTCGCTTGAGACACCGTCAAACTATTGTTTATTTCGCTTGAGACATCCTCGAAATAATTGTGTTTTTCGTTTGTAATGTCCTCAAAATATTGTTGATTTCGCCTGAAACATCCTGAAATTCAATTTCCATGGATAAACAACCCCAGAGATAAAAAAGCTCAGGCGAGCGTGGGGACAGAGAGAAATATAAAAGACGAAGAATGCAGTAGAAGAATAATAAGAAAGAAGACGAAGAGGATGATAATAAGAGGACGAAGAAAGGAAAAATCCAACGTTCCAAATTTATCAATTTTAATTTAAAAACGCTTTATGAAAATTGATTTTTTAAGTGCTCGTGTAGGGTAGCTCATGTGCTTCATTTTCCATGGATAATCAACCCCAGGGATAAAAAAGTTCAGGCGAGCGTGAGGACAGATAGAAATATAAAATAAGAAGAGGAACGTAGAAGAATAATAAGAAGAGAAGAATAAGAGAATAATAAGAAGAGAAGAATAACGGAAAAATGGCAGGTTCCAAATCTAGCAATTTTAATTTACATACGCTGTATGAAAATTGATTGTTTAAGTGCTCATGTAGGGTAGCTCATGTGCTTCCCTTTCCATGGATAATCAACCCCAGAGGTAAAAAAGTTCAGGCGCGCGCGGCGATAGATACATTTATAAAAAGGAAGATAATTAAAAAAACATATAAATAAAAAGAAACAAATTTGCTGGTTTAGCTTGAAACATCCTTGAGACATCCTTGGAACATTGCTCGTTTCGTTTGAGTCTGCCCCCCAAAAGTTTTGGTTTCGCTTGAGACATCCTTGAAACATTGCTCGTTTCGTTTGCGTCTGCCTCCCAAAAATTGTTGGTTTCGCTTGAGACATCCTTGGAACATTGCTCGTTTCGTTTGAGTCTGCCTCCCAAAATTATTGGTTTCGCTTGACACATCCTGAAAAAGTGTGATCGCTTCGCTTGATGTTGCTATATCAACATCGCTTGATGTTGCTATCTCAACATAGCGTTTCGAGGTGATAATGAAGTTCGGCCTCAGCGCTCGCCGCCCAATTTGAATTTTGTATAGGGCGACGATAATCAACTCTAAACACTGAAGGGGGGGGGGTCCCTTTATTATCATCGGCATGCGGTTATTCACGACGCAGTAGCCCGTCGCCTCTGTCGTCGCCGTCGCATCCGCCGTCGTCAGCGTGGTTGGCGTCCTCGTCGTAGCCGTCGTCGTCGATGACCGTCATGTCCGCGACACGCACTCATCATGGAGACGGCGCGCGCGGGAGTGCGCGCGAGGAGGAGGGGGCGAAGGGAAGAGCGGAGGCGTAGGTTTAAGTCGGGCCTGTCCCTCTACAGGCGGAGTATTCAAGAATAGTCAAGACATAGTCTGGGGACGATGTTTTGACCATGTTTGCACATTGTAATGTATGTTTTGACTATTTGCTATGCTTCGTCCACAATCCCCCTGTAGGAGGACAGGCCCGACGTAAGCGTAGGCAGGCAGGACAGCAGCCCGACTCCAGGTTCGGGACACGTCCAGCCCACCTCCGCCTCCGTGTCGGCAGCGCTGCCTGTAGGTCGAGGCATCCTCTTCGCCTCTCGCGCAGATGGGCTCCCCCAGAGCTTGGACCCAGGGGAGATCCCTTCTCGACCAGGCAAAGCAGGGCTGAACCTAAACAGTGCTTTTCGTTTTCGTTTTGTTTTCGTTTTCCCTCGCTTTTGTCACGAACCTGCCTTTACCGCAAAACGAAGTCGAAACGAAAACGGCCCACGAAACCGCCAAAAGCAAGGTTTAGGTCCAGCCCTGAGGCAAAGGGCTCCCAGTGTGTGGTGGGGCAGGTAGGGCGGAGGGGTAGGTCGGTATGGCAGCGGCCCGACGCCAGGTTCGGAGCATGCCTGACCCCCGCACCAGCGCCCAAGCCCCCGCACCGTGCCGCCGTGGTCGTGGTCGTGGTCGTGGTCGTGGTCGCCGCCGTCGTGGTCCCTCGGGTGTCGTCGTGTCGAAACCGTCGTCGTCATGTGGACGCCTGCGTCGTGGTCATCGCCGCGGTCGTCGTCGTAGCCGTCGTCGCCGACTCTTACCCGCGCGCCCGGAGCCGGGCAGGACGGCGCCGCCGCCGGGCGGGCGGCGGCGTGCGCGGCGTCCGCCGCGATGGAGGGCGACGTCCGTGCGACGGGGTACTGCATCGCGGAGATGACGGTCGCCGGCGACGACGGCGACGGCGACGGCGTCGGCGACGGCGACGGCGACGGCGGCGGCGGGGGCGGCGACGACGACGACGACGAGGGGAAGATGAGATCGACTGAGGGACCCTCCTTCGAGCAGTGGTGAAGCGTATTGGCTTGCCTACAGGCCCACCAAATAATGTTCTGAGAACCTCTTGTGGTCTGCACGACATGTTTTTAGAACATGTTTGGCTGAGACTGTCTTCTTTTAACGCATCGGGCATCTGTTCTAAGAACACTGCTTCTGCTCTCAGAACGCTTCCGGGTTCTAGGAAAAATGTCGGTCCTTGCCCACTTCCTCCCCCCTCGTTCCTTCTATGCTTCCAAAGGGGCGTGCGACCAGATGGGGTTGGAGGACCGCGCCGCGTCGCCGACGCATCGTGAGGAGGGTCCCGCCAGGATCCCCAGAGGGGCGTGCGGCCAGGCGGGGTTGGAGGATCGCGCCGCATCGCCGATGCATCGTGAGGAGGCCCCCGTCAGGGTCCCCGAGTCAGCCCGCCGGGATCCCACGGCCTGGTCGAGGCTGATCCCCCTCGGGCCAGAGGCTCGGGAAGCCCGTCTGCGTGCAAGGCGAAGAGGCAGCCTCGTCCGACTGGCAGTGCCTACAGTTATGTCGGGCGTGTCCCCCTACAGGGGGATGTTCGACGAAAAATAACAATTACCCAAAAAATACACCAGGAAGGTCAACAACTGCTCCAAAAGTAGTCCCCATATCATTTTTGGACTATTTGTTGAACCATTTTTGGGGTATCTCTTGTTTCTCTTCGAAAATCCCCCTGTAGGGGGACAGGCCCGACTTAAGGCTGCAGTCAACCCACATAGTAAGGATGGGCAACCTTCCCAAGGGTACCCTTGCATCCTTGCATTCTCGGCCCATCCTTGGCTGCTTCCGCTGGTCGCGCCCCGCTCGAAAACTTCGAAATGGGCGTCCAAGGCCCTTGCATCCTTATCGCGCCTCCTTACTGTACGGGTTGTCTGTAGCATGCCAGGGAGGGAGGGCGGGCGGGCGGGAGGAGGGGGCCGCCCAGGTCAACACGGCGCGTGCCGGCGCGGGGCTTGCCTCGGCAGTCACGCTGACCACGGTCGGCACAGTCATGGAGATTCCAGGCCGCCGCCCGCGCCCAGGGGAGGGGCGGTCGAGGCTGGAGGCAGGAGAGGGCCAGGACGACGACGCGAGAGCGGCTGTGAAGAGGACGGCGGGGAAGTGCGATGAACGAGGGAGGGCGTTGAAGGGTCGGGAGTCGATGAGAGAGGAGGGCGGAGCACGAAGGTGGAGGAGGAAGAAGGGGAGAGCGAGCAGGGGAGCAGGGTGCAGCGGTGACGGAAGGGCGGAGAGCGGAGAGCCGCCGAGGATGGAGGGACAAAGGGACGGTCATGAGTGACGGACGGAGGGACGGAGGCATGTGGGGGTGGGGGGAATAGCGCGAGATAGTTGCGAAGAAGGGGAGGGGGAGGGACACGGGAGGAGGGTCGGGGGGGAGAAGGGGGAGGGAGGAGCATGAGTGTGGGAGAGTGGGGGGAGTGGCGGGAAGGCGAGATGGCGGGAAGGCGAGGCAGTGTGGGGAGGGGAGGGCGGTAGAGGTCGAGGGCAGGGATGCAGGCAGGGAGAGGGGGGGGAGGAGAGCCTCGGGAACGGGGGGAGCAGGAGGCGAAGGAACTTGCAGTTGAGGAGGGGCAGGCGGGACCGCGTGGGCAGCGGCAGGGTGCTTGAGGGACACGAGAGCAGGCAGGAGGAGCAGCGGGAGGCCGCGGGGGGGGAGCGGGCGGGGGCGGAGGCGGAGGCATGGCAGCGGAGGCGGAGAGGCGGGAGCACCGGACGGCGGGCGCAGACCTCTCAACTGCAGAAGCACTGGGATGCCTCTGCCCGAACTCGCGCCCGAGGTTTTTTTAAAGGCACCCTCCGCTCGCTTGGCTCCGTGGCTCCTCCTCCTCCTCCTCCTCCTCCTCCTCCGCCTCCTCGCTCGCCATGGGCCTCCCCCGGGCCTTCTCCGCCGCGCGCCGGCCGCGCGCAGGAGTGCTCTCGTTCCGAGGATGGCCCGGGGAGGAACCGAGCAGCTCCCAGCGGCGGCCTCTGCGTTGGCGACGGCGCCCGCGGGGCCCTCCCCCTCCCCCCCGCGTTCCCGTGCGGCTGCTGCGCCGCTGGCCGGCCGCCGCCCTCGCTCTGCCCCCCGCCCGCCTGCCTCGGCGAGGGCGCGAGGGAGGCGGGGCTCGCACTGGGATTGCGTCGGGCCGGTCCCTCTGCGGGAGGGATGCTCGATGATAGTCCAAAACTTATCCCAGTGCGACCCTACCTAGGAGTTGGAGCCCCTAGGAAAGCAGCATTAGTAGTAACGGTAAAGCTAAGCTAAAGCTAAATCTAAAGCTAAAGCTCCCAGGGGACTGGGGGAACCGCGGGGCGGGGACTGGGAGAACCGCCCCTTTAAGAAAGAGAGTAAGAACCCTCTGGGCAGAGCCTAGGTAGGGAAAAAGTATGTCTTGAGTATCTTTGCACAGGTGTTGAATATGTTTTAGCTGTTCGTCCAAAATCCGCCTGTAGGGGGGCATTCCCGACTTAACACTGGGAGGCCGTCTTGCCCTCCGGCGCCGTGTCGTCAACCTTCCTCTCCTGCATCGCACTCTGGCTCCTCATTGCTTCAAGCAGTGGCGAAGCGTCCTGGCGTGCCTACAGGCCTACCAAACAATGCTCCAAGAACTTTTTTTGTGGCCTCCACGAGATGTGTTTAGAACAGTTCTGGCCAGGACTGGCTCGTTCGAGCACATCGGGTTCATGTTCTAAGAACAGGGTTTTTTGTTCTTAAGACATTGTTGGATTGTAAGATTATGTAAGTCGGGCCTGTCCCTCTACAGGAGGAATGTGCAAACATAGTCAACAAGTAGTCTGCGGACGATTGTTTGACCATTTTGGGTTTTTTTTTTGTTTTTTTGACTTCTTTGTTTTTCGTCAAAAATGCTTTCATGCCCGACTTGACACTGGGAGGCCGTCTTGCCCTCGGGCTCCATGCCGTCAATCTACCTCTCTTGTATCGCACTTTGGCTCCTCATTGCTTCAAGCAGTGGCGAAGCGTCCTGGCGTGCCTGTAGGCCTACCAAACAATGTTCCAATAACCTGTTTGGTGGCTTCCACGAGATGTTCTTAGAGCACTTCTGGCTGGGACTGTCTCGTTTTAGCACATCGGGATCCGTTCTAAGAACATTGTTTTTTGTTCTTAGCACAGTTTTGGGTTCTAACATTAAGTCGGGCCTGTCCCTCTACAGGAGGAATGTTCAAACATAGTGAACAAATAGTCTGGGGATGCTTTTGTTTTGTATTTCTTGAGTATTTTTAAATATTTTCAGTATTTTTGGGGTTCGTCCAAAATCCGCCTGTAAGGGGGACATGCCCGACTTAACACTGCGAGGCCGTCTTGCCCTCCGGCGCCGTGTCGTCAACATTTTTCTCCTGCATCGCACTCCTGGCTCCTCATTGCTTCAAGCAGTGGCGAAGCGTCCTGGCGTGCCTATAGGCCTACCAAGCAATGTTCCAAGAACCTCTTTGTGGCCTCCACGAGATGTTCAAACATAGTCGAACAATAGTCTGGCCTGTCCCTCTACAGGAGGAATGTTCAAAAATAGTCAAACAATAATCTGGGGATTATTTTCTGACCATTTTTGAGTATGTTGGAATCTATTGTTTGACTATTTTCAATGCTTCGTCCAAAATTCCCCTGTATGGGGCACAGGCCCGACGTAGTTCTAAGAACCTTTCGTGGTAGGCCTCTGGTCAGGAGGGGAAAAAACACAGACACAATTAATCTTCGATTCCCCAGAGCATATGGGAAACTATGGGAAGTGGGGGGGAAGACTAAAACCCCAACAATACTGGAACATATGAGGAATATGTTTACATGTGTCTATTGATTTGTGTGTTCCAGGGCCCCTTCATCTGGGCATGCCAGGACGGTCGGTCCCTGCGCCGCCTGCAATCGCACCGCCGGTCGTTGAAAGTTGGTGTTTTTGGATTCCCAGATCCCAATATACTTCAAGCGCCTTCCTACTTCAAGGATCGAGTGGCTTTCCTTCTTCCCTCCTCTTCAGGGGGCGGACGGAGACCCAATCTACTTCCATCGCCTTCCTACTTCATGTTTCTACCTGCTTCTTCCGATCGATGGGTAATTCTGTCTGCAGCGTCGATTGAGCGTTGAGTCGGGCCTGTCCCTCTACAGGAGGAATTCTCCAACACAGTCAAAAAGTAGTGAGGGGAGGATTTTCGTTTGCCCATTTTTTGAATATTTTACGGTATGTTTTGACTATCTTGTATTTTTCATCCAACATCCCCCCGTAGGGGGACTGGCCCGACTTAAATCGAGCCTCTGGGAGTCGGTGAGATAGCGCCGATTTAGCGCCGCTCAGCGCCACTGAGCGTCGCTTTAACGCCGATTAGCATCGATTTGGCGTCGATTCGCAAGAGCCGACAGGCTGGTACGAGAGGCTCCCATGAGTTGCCACCGAACTCTCCCTCCCCCCCCCTCCCTCCCTTCTCGTCGGCTCTCCTTCTGCCGGTCTGGCCTCGGGGTGCGGAAAGCCATGGTGCTCTACGACCCCCTGGGTCCCCACACCCGAGTCGGCCGTGCGCGGATTGTTGCGGCTGAGCCCTGGCCTTGGTTGTGTATCTTCGCTGGCCGCGGGCAGTGATGGCTGTGATCCTCTCGAGGCCTTCGGATGCAATTCCTGGGAGGTCGAATTCTGACGTTCCCCTGGTCCGAAATCCGGCTTCGTCCGGCTTAATCTCACCTGATCCGAATTGATCCCGGTCAATCCGACTTAACCCCGCTTACTCCGCGGCCTAATCCGGTGCAGCAGCCCCCCAACGGGGTTTCATCCTCCTTGATCCTTCCGACGAGGGCCTCCCAGTAGTTGCCTTCGAAGAGGCCCTGGCCCAACTCGCTGTGGATCTTCTCACCCTGCTCGGTAGGCTGGTCAGAGGCAATCTCCTTGGCAGTCTGGCGCTCTTGGACCCGACCCCTGGGCAGTTTCCCATCTCGGCCGGAGTGGGTATGCACGCGAGTGCCAGGAGGCATCCGTGAGCCCCCGAGGAGCACGCCGTACGAGCGTGCGCCGGCTGCGCATCCCAGGTAATCCCTCTGCTAGCAGGGGCCAAGTACCATACCCTTGGGTGTTTCATGCCTGCACTGGTGCTTGCTCCCGTCCCTCGCCGCGTGCGAGCGTTCGGAGCGTTCCGCTTCGTCCCGTTTCCTGCCTCCGTCGTCTTCGACCCTCCTACATTATCCACCTCCCTCCTCCTCCTCCTCCTCCTCCTCCTCCTCCTCACCACCATCCTCATCATCACCATCATCACCAGCACCATCATCATATTCATCATTTTCATCATGCTCATCGTGATCAGCATCAGCATCAGCATCAGCATCAGCATCAGCATCATCATCAGATTCATCATCACCACCCCTCTTTCCCTATCCGTCCGCCTCCTTCCCGATCTTCCCTTCTCCTCCTCCTCCTCCTCCTCTTTCCACACCCTCTCTCCTCGTCGTCCGTCTCCTTCTGAGAGCGCCCTGGAAGCCCTCGGGGCCACACACACCTCAGCTCCGAACGCCCTCGGAAACGCTCGGCCCCCTCTCCCTCGCACCCCCCCCCCCCCCCGCCGGGCGTCTGTTCCGAACCCGCCCCCCCCCCCCCGCCAGGCAGTTGCCCCGCTCCGCCCGCGCGGGCGGGGCCCCTCGCTCCCGGGGGCAGGCCCCCGTTGCGGCGCGGCCTGCGGCGGCGGCCCCCCGCGGGGGGGGGGGGGGGGGGCGAGGCCTGCCCCACCCCCCCCCCGTGACGGCGGCGCGCCCCTCGACGGCGGGCCTCTCGGCGCACCGCTGGCGGAGCGCCGCGGCCCACGCGCGGCGGCGGCGGCTCTCCCCCGGGGGGGGGGAGGGGGGCGCGGCCCCAGGCGCCGTGGTCGGCCAGCTCTCCCCCGCGGCGCGGCCGGGGTGCCCGTGGTGGGGCCTCGGCGGCGCGCAGGCCCGCGCCGCCCACGGTGGGCAGGCATTAAGTCGGGCCTGTTCCCCTACAGGGGGATTTTCGACGAGAAATAAAAGTTATCCCGGCAAAGCAACCTAACAGCGATGTGTAGAAGCATATCTGAAAGCATTCCCCTTAAGATTCAGATGAAAATCCAGTTGTCGAATTCTGCTGTTCTCGCAGTCGTAGTCGCATTCGCGATGACAGTCGCAGCGGCAACGGCAGTCGCAGTCACAGCCTCAGCCTCAGCCTGCCTCAGCCTCAGCCTCAGCCTGCCTCAGCCTCAGCCTGCCTCAGCCTCAGCCTCAGCCTGCTTCAGCCTCAGCCTCAGTCTGCCTTCAGCCTCGGCCTCAGCCTCAGCCTGCCTCAGCCTCAGCCTGCATCAGCCTCAGCCTCAGCCTCAGCCTGCCTCAGCATCAGCCTGCTTCAGCCTCAGCCTCAGCCTGCCTCAGCCTCAGCCTCAGTCTGCTTCAGCCTCAGCCTCAGTCTGCCTTCAGCCTCGGCCTCAGCCTCAGCCTGCCTCAGCCTCAGCCTGCCTCGGCCGCAGCATCAGCCTGCCTCAGCATTCAAAATGTGGCCCAGGAATGGAGTTCTGGGAACTAGAAGAACACGAAGTGGCCTACAGTTGGCTCCGGGCATTCAAAATCATGCCCAGGAATGGAGTTCTGGGAACTTGAAGAGCACGAAGTGGCCTACAGTTGGCTCCGGGCATCCAAAATGTGGCCCGGGAATGGAGTTCTGGGAAATCGAAGAGCACGAAGTGGCCTACAGTTGGCTCCGGGCATCCAAAATGTGGCCCGGGAATGGAGTTCTGGGAAGTCGAAGAGCACGAAGTGGCCTACAGTTGGCTCCGGGCATCCAAAATGTGGCCCGGGAATGGAGTTCTGGGAGCACCAAGAGCGATTTTGCGAGGATGTCCCAAGCGATTTCGGCTTCGGCGGCAGTCCCCGGGTCCCGCCCAGACCCCCCTGAGGAGTCATGATGCTCTCTTTTGAGACCACTAGAAACCTATCAGCAAGAGCTGTTAGGTAAATACCCCCAAATAGTCAAAACATAGTCCAAACATAGTCTGGGGACTATTTTCTGAGTACTGTTTGACCTTTTTGGTGCATTTTTGGGGTATTTCTATTTTTCGTAAAAAAACCCTGTAGGGGGACACGCCCGACTTAAGTCAAGCAGTGGCGAAGCGTCTGGGCGTGCCTGCAGCCCTACCAGACCTACCAAGCAATGTGCTAAGAGCCTCCTGTGGCTTCCACGAAGTGTTCTCGGAGCATCTCTGGCGGAGTCGGGCCAGCTCTACCACATCGGGTGTATGTTCTAAGAACATTGCTTTTGTTAGTAGAACATTTCGTGGTGGGACTATAGGAATGCCGGGACGATCGGTCCCTGCTCTACTACATCGGGTGTACGTTGCTCTACTACATCGGGTGTATGTTCTAAGAACATTTCGTGGTAGGACTATCGGAATGCCGGGACGATCGGTCCCTGCTCAAGGTGGGGAGTTCGTTCGGCGATCGGCGGGGAGGGTCAGCAGCGCTTCGCCGAGATCCCCATCCCTACTCCCACCATCCCACCATCCCACCCACCCCAGTTAAGTGGGGTGGGCTTCGAGGGGTATGTCCCCAACTGGGGGGTATCCACATCCCCACCATCCCCATATCCCCATATCCCCATCCCCATTCCCACCAACCCACCACCCCAGTTTGGGACATGCCCCTCGGAGCCCGACGGAAGCAGGCGAATGATGTTCCTCATCTTGGGAGTAACATCGGCCAGGGGGGCCCAGGCCACGCCGGTGCGGATGGGGATCGGCGAAGCGATGCTCAGGATTCGGAGATCAGCGAGGAGGAGGAGGAGGAGGAGGAGGAGGAGGAGGAGGAGAGGACGAGGACGACGAGGAGGACGAGGAGGAGAGCAAGCCTAGGAGGGACGACGACGAGGAGAGGAGGACGAGGAGGAGAGGACTGGGAGGAGAGGACTGGGAGGAGAGGACGAGGAGGAGAGGACGAGGGGTGGCAGGGAGGACGAGGACGAGGAGGAGAGGCCGAGGGGGGCAGGGAGGACGAGGAGGAGAGCAGAACTACTGACTACGGAGCCCGCGGGGCGGGCTGCTATGGCGAGCCCACCCTCGGGAAGCTGCTGCCCTCGAAGGTCGCGGCCATGGAGGAGGGGGAGGATGGGGAGGAGGAGGAGGAGGAGGAGGAGGAGGAGGAGGAGGAAGAGGAGGAGGCGGAGGAGGAGGAGGAGGAGGGGGAGGAGGAGCAGCAGCAGGAGGATGGGGAGGAGGAGCAGGAGGGGAGGAGGACGAGGAGGAGGAGGACGACGACGAGCAGGATAGGGCGACGAGATCTATACATATCCACTGCTCCTGGTCAGGCCCATCATGGGCCCAGAAGCGGTGCGTACGCCCTCCTGGCTTGGCCAGGGAGGCATGTGCACTGCTCCTGGGTCCAGGATGGTCCTGGCCAGGCGCAGTGGATATGTAGAGGTCTCGTCGCCCTACGGGAAGTGGCACGGCGTCCGCGACGCGTGCGTACAGTCTGCAGCGGCCCGAGTCAGCCATGTGCGCGCGCAGTCTACACGTGAGGGGTACCCTCGAGTGCCTCCGTGACTGGCTGCAAGCTCCCAAAGCCCGTACCGCCCGCCGACGCCGACGCAAGCCGCAGGTCGCGAAATTTTCGGGCGCGGCGCCGCGAGGACAGCGAGGCCAGCCGGGGCGATGCGGCGACCGTCTGCCGGGAACGCGCGGCCACGGGCGCCCAGAAACCCTCCGGGACCGCCCCCGAGCCGCTCCCGCGTCGTTCCGGAATCCATCCCGAGCGGCTCCAGAATCGTTTCCGAATTGCTCCCGAGCCGCTACCACATGGCTCTCGACCCGTTCCCGAGCCGTTCCCGACAGGCTCCCGAACCGCTCCCGCATCACTCTCGAGCGCCTCCCGAACCTCCCGCCGAACTGCTCGCCGAACTGCTCTTGAGGCGCTCCCGACAGAAATACAGACGCCTGAACCGCTTCTCGATTCTCTCCCGAACCAGTCTCGAACCGTGCTTGAAGAACCCCGAAGCGCCTCCGAACCTCGCGCGCCCGCACCCGAACAACTTCTGGAGCTGCGCTGCTCTGGGCCGCAGCCCGAAGCACTCCCCGATCCCGAGCCGTTCCCGAATTGTTGCGGACCGCGGATGCGAGGCCAGTGATTCGCGTCTGCGGCGCAGGGCGTAGTTCTTGGCATCGCTCGGACGTGTGCATGCGTCCTTCGGCGAGGGCGATCGAGGAGCATCCTTGATCATGTGGCGAGAAAACCACGCACGACACCGAACAAAAAAAACAGGCATTGGACGTCCGAGCGATGGCCAGAGTGAGGCTTCTATGTAATGTTGTAACGTGCGAGCGGACACGGCGCTAGGTTTGGCATGGGTTCTGGGCTCCGGGATGAAGGATCCCGTGGCTCGTCGCGCGCACCGCTGTGCCCAGCAAGAGTCTGGTGCTGGACCTACGTTAGGCAAAACATAGTCGGGGGACTATTTTTTTGTATCTTTTGACCAGTTGGGGGCATCTTTGTTTTTTTTTTTGATTGTTCGCCCAAAATTCCCCTGTAGGAAGACAGGGCCGACTTAATGCTGGACGGACCTCGCCTGCTCCAGCCGTGCACCACGCACATTGGCGCGTTGATCATCCTGGGAGCCGCTGCGAGAGGGCCTCCGCTCGGGGGGTGCTGCCGCGGCCGATCTCCCCACTTGCGTCTCCAGCGCCGCGTCCGTAACCGTTATGGCATCTTCGGATGCAACTCCTGGGAGGTAAAATTCTGATTTTGCCCTAGTCCAAAATCCGGCTTAATCCGGCTTAATCCAGCTTAATCCAGCTTGATCCCGCTCAATCCCGTTTAATCCGGTTTCATCCCGCTTAATCCGAGGCCCACTCCGGCATAACAGCCCCCCAATGGCGCTTAATCCTCTTTAATTTTTCCGACGAAAACCTTCCAGTAGTTGCCTCCTAGCGTTGAGGGCGGCCTCTGCCGAGGCGGCCCCGTCAGAAGTGACCGCTCTCATCGACTCGCGCGGACCAGCACCTGCGCTACGCAAGAGCCGCGCCACGCGGCCCCAGGGGCCGGCCGGTGCCAAGCCTTTTCCTGCAGCGATGTCGTCACGACACGAGAGGGGTCCAGGGCGGGAGCGGGAGGAGGTTGTGGGAGATACGAGGTCCCCGAGCTGCCTGCGCAACTGCGGCCCGTCGTTTATCAGGAGGAGAAAAAACACACAGACACAATTAATCGTTGATCCCCAGGAAAATATGGGAAACTATTGGAAGTGGGGGGGGAAGACAAAACCCTAGAACATATCAGAAAATATGGAGGATCCTGTTGTTTGTGTGTATTTATTTGTGTGTCCCAGGGCCCCTTCAGTTTACCCCTTGGCACCAGGGGTTGACGCCCCCAGCCCCTCGTCGGTTGATTGCTCGGAGCTTCTTCCCACTCGCGCACCTGTTTCTCGGACAGGCTGCGAGCCCAAGAGCCGTCAGCTCCAACAGCGAGGTGCAGGGCTCGAGCGAAGTGGCGTTCTGGCGATGCCGTGGACCGCTTTCGTTTCGGCCGCGTTCTGCAGCAGGGGGCGGATGGAAGACAGAACGAGGGAAGACGAGAACAGAACGAAGACGAAGGAATCACTGCGGAGCTCGCGCCCTGCCAGGATGGAGGAGGAGGGGCGACCCTCGGCTGCCGCGGCCCCCGCCTCCTCTGAGCACACCACGTCTGGCTCCCACCCCGACCTGGGACCCCCACTCCCGACCTGGTGCTGCATGCTGCTCTCCAGGGGGTCCTGGCTCGGGGCGGGGGGGCGGCTCATTGAGGTGAACACCACACTCACCCTCAGCCAGGACGCCCTGGATCCCAAGGTCGTGGGTGGAGGTCCTGGCTGGGAGTGCTGTCCTCGCCCTCGCCGGAGGAGGAGGAGGAGGAGGAGGAGGAGGAGGAGGAGGAGGAGGAGGAGGAGGAGGAGGAGGAGGGGGGGGGAGGGGCCTGGCGAACTGAACTCCAGTGTGGAGGTCCTGGACAGCGAGGGTGGGCCGTGCTGTCCTCGCCCTCGCCGGCGCGCGAGGCGCCGGCGGCGGGGGCCGCCGCGGAGCTTCTGCCTCCCAGCGCCGCCACGAGGGCGACGGCCGCCGCCCCCTCGGCGGCCCCGGCGGCCCGGGCGGCCGCGAGCGGATTCGGCCTGGAGGTCGGGGGGAGGAGATCAACAACAACAACAACAACAATCACTTTACCCGAACGCTCAGTGTTCTCACCAGTGCCAGGGTTTTCATGCGACGCCAGCCAATACCCCCACTTTGTGGGGGGGCAGTGCAAGCTCTACCAAATATCCACACGACTCTTCGCCACCACCCACACCCAGCTTCCCGCCCTATGACGTTCGGACACTTCACTTCGTGGCCTGCGGACGACCGTGGCTACTACACTGGCGTGGAGTACACACCCACAGAAGTTGTTAAGCCTACGTTCGTACACCCACAGAAGTTGTTAAGCCTTGTTAACCCACAGAAGTTGTTAAGCCTTCCACAGAACATCTGTTGCATATGATGCATATGGTACATGATACACATGATACACATGATACGTACTCACAAGATAGTTGATCACATCTTTAGGGCAAATTCCTGAGGGATGTGGGAATACACAAGAGAGAGAGGATATGGTTGTCCCGATGGTTGTCTCGATGGTTGTCCCGATGGTTGTCCTGATGGTTGTGGTTGTCCCGATCGTTGTCCCGATGATTGTCCCGATGGTTGTCCTGATGGTTGTGCTTGTCCCGATCGTTGTCCCGATGACTGTCCCGATGATTGTCCCGATGGTTGTCCCGATGGTTGTTCCGATGGTTGTCCCGATGGTTGTCCCGATGGTTGTCCCGATGTTATTCTCGGCGGCCGAGGGCGCAACCTATGGCGCAACCAATAGGGGGACGTTTTATTCTCGGCGGCCGAGGGCGCAACCTATGGCGCAACCGCAAGGGATTGTGGCCCCTGGCAGGCGCGCGAACCCCGTTGCAAGAGCGTGCGAAAGTAGCTCGCGCGAGCTCATGTAACATAAATGTTGGAAAACCATTGGTTTTTTTAGGATTCGGACAGCGCGCGCGGGTAGAAATTTTGAAAAGTCGTGCAGGTGTTTTTCGAGGACCTACGGTGCGATTCGTGTGATTTTATGATGCGCGGTGCTAAAATTCTTAAGAAGCCCAATGGTTTTTGGAGATTTCGGCGTGCGCGCGCGAAGAAAAAACGAATGTGTCCCGCATGGTATTATTTGACAGGGATGATGGCCCTGGCAGGTGCGCAACCGTTGTCGCAGAAGTTCGAAAAAGTTGCTCGCAAAAGCCCGTTTGACAGAAATGTTTAAAAAGTGTTGGGTTTCCTACGAATCCGCAAGAGCGCGCGGGATGAGATTTTGACATTTTTTTTGTTGAAAAACCATTGGTTTTTTGATGTTTTTATGTTAAAATCGCTGCGAACACTAAGGTTTTGGAAGGATTTCGTCTTGCGCGCGCGAATGTCCACTTTACCTTATTTTTTGCAAGGGATTCTTGAAATTTGATTATATTAGAACAAGAAATGTCATTTTCTATTGTTTTTTGCAAGGGAAAGCGGATTACAACAAAACAACCGGATCCTGTACACACCCTCTTTTCTGAGGCTTCCTCACGAAAATGATGAAAATGTAGCTGCGGCCTAGGCGGCGCAGGGGGGGCGCGCACCAGGGGGCCCAACAATAATTATTCTTTAGAATAAATAATGTTCAACAACAACAACAACAACAACAACAACAACAACAACAACAACAACAACAACAACAACAACAACAACAACAACAACAACAACAACAACAACAACAACAACAACAACAACAACAACAATTACTAGCACGTGGGGACACTCCGTTCTCACCAGTGCCAGGGTTTTCATAGGAGGCGGGCAATACCCCCACTTTGTGGGGGGGCCGGTTCAAGCTCTACCAAATTTCCAAACGACTCTTCGCCACCACCCACACCCAGCTTCCCGCCCTATGACGTTCGGACACTTCACTTCGTGGCATGCGGACGACCGTGGCTACTATTCAGGGCCCCGCGGCCGACGACGACGGCGTGCGCGCGCGAAGAAAAAACGAATGTGTCCCGCATGGTATTATTTGACAGGGATGATGGCCCTGGCAGGTGCGCAACCGTTGTTGCAGAAGTTCGAAAAAGTTGCTCGCAAAAGCCCGTTTGACAGAAATGATTAGAAAGTGTTGGGTTTCCTACGAATCCGCAAGAGCGCGCGGGATGAAATTTTGACATTTTTTTTTGAAAAAAAAACCATTTTTTTTTTTTTTATGTTTTTATGTTAAAATCGCTACGAAAACTAAGGTTTTGGAAGGATTTCGTCTTGCGCGCGCGAATGACCACTTTACCTTATTTTTTGCAAGGGATTCTTGAAGCTTGGCTATGTTAGAACAAGAAATGTCCACTTTAGCTTTTTTTTTTTTTTGCAAGGGAAAGCCGATCGTAACAACACAACCGGATCCGGACCAACCCGTTTTGCCTGAGACTTCCTCACGAAAATGATGAAAATGAGGCTGCGGCCTAGGCGCGGCGGGGGGGTCGTGCACCAGGGGCCCCAACAATAATTATTCTTTAGAAGTAATAATGTTCAACAACAGCAACAACAGCAACAACAACAACAACAGCAGCAACAACAACAACAAAGAGCCGCGCCCAGACGGCGCATAGGCAGGAAATGTGCACATGCATACGTGGAAAATGTCACTGGGCCTCGGCCGGCAACCACTTGCAAGCTTTGCGCAAATGGCGCGCGAGGGTAAGCAGCAACATTCCGTCTGAAGAGGGTGGGGGCGGACAGGGGACAGGGGAGGAGATCAGGGGGGAACAAAGACACAGACGCAATGAATCGTCGATCCCCGGGAAAATATGGGAAGTGGGGGGGGAAGACAGAAACCCGGAAGATGTGGGAAACTATGGGGAATCCTGCTCATCGTGCGCATTTGTATTTGTGTGTCCCTGGGCCCCTTCAGGAGAAGCGACACCACCACCACCAAGGGGGCCACACCCCCAGGGGGGCCCTCCCCTGGCCCCCCCCCGCTGTCGGAGATGCCTCGAGCGCAGGGGGGGGGGGGGGGCACACCACCAGGGGGGCCCTGCGGCTCCTCCCGCTGGCGGTCCCTGGTGGTGGTGCCGCTCGTCCTTGTTCGTAAGGTTCGGCCTGAAGGGGTGCCCAGACCTCCAGCACTTTTCTGCACGAGCGAAATGAGCACGGAAAGAATGGGTACAATGCCCAACAGCAGTTCCTGTTCATTTTGAACAGGACTCGCTGTCCGCGCCGCCGCGGCCTGTGCTCATTTGAGACAGAAGGCCGCCTGCCCAACAGCGGCCGCTGTTGGTGTTGGACAACATGTGTTGTTGGGCATTGTACCCATTCTTTCCGTGCCCAGACCTCCAGCAATTTGGGGCGTCAAGGCGGAGGTTTTTCTCGTCGGCCCGGGAACCACCCAACAGCGATTCGGCATGGAAAGCCAACCTTGGGAAGTGTCGGGACTTCCTCGGATTCCGTAACGAAACAAAAAACAATGCAGTGGATGCCAGGGGGGAATAATTGGGGGGCTGTGGGGGTGGGGTGAAGGCAATGGCGCGGGTCATCAGTTGTGAGGCGTTTTGGTCCTAGTCAGGGACATTCTCAGTCACCTTCCAGCACCCGTTGATTGCCCTCCCGGTGAACACTCGCGCGGCAGGTCCGTGTGTCGCAGGACCATGTATCAGCATGTGTTCTGTGTTCTCAGCGTTTTCCTGCGGTTTCCTTGGCCCAGGACCCAACACACATCCAGGATGAAACGTTTTGGCCCGCGTCACCCAAACAACAACGCATCGTGTATGCCCTCAGTTCCATGAGCATCGACTATGTCACACTTTCGCCGCATAGCCAAGTCCTTGGGATTCATGAAGTTCCTCGAATGCGATCTGGTGGAGGGACACTGCAGGACCTGAGGGCATTGTAGGCGTGACGTCACGGTGTGCGGTGTATTTGGACATGAGCGTTGGCATTGCAGTTCCTCCCCGACTCTGAAGTACCATGTAGTGGGCCATGTAGGATCATTCCGTGTATCTTGTGAATAATTGATCAATGTCATGCTTCTTTCCTCAGTGCATTTCGTTGCCGAAGTACGGCGCACTGTGTCGTACCACCTTCTCGAGTGCAAGCAAACATCGATGTACTTGTTTTCGTCGTTTGTTGCGATCAGTCCGCCGACTGCCGAACGGTTTCTCCGTGCACCTCGAGGATGAGGAGTGATCGAGGAACAGGAGGGATCGAGGAGGGAGATCGAGAAGGTTTCCTCCCCACTTCCCCCTGATGATGATGCTGATGATGATGATGATGGTGGTGGTGATGATGATGATGATGATGCTGATGGTGGTGACGCTGATGATGATGCTCATGCAGATGATGATGTAGATGGTGATGATGATGATGTTGACGCTGATGCTGGTTATGATCATGATGTTTCTGATGATGATGCCGATGATGATGATGATGATGATGAAGATGATAAAGATGATGAAGATGATTATGATGATGATGCTGATGATGATGACGATGATGATGATGCTGATGATGATGATGGTGATGTTGATGCTGATGTTGATGATGTTGTAGATGGTGATGATGATGATGCTGGTGCTGGTGCTGGTGCTGATGATGCTGATGATGATGATGATGACGATGATGAGGAGGAGGAGGAGGGAGATGATGATGAGAAGGGAGATCGAGCAGGCCTCCTCACTTCCCCCCCTCGCTCGCCGCCGCCCACGCTGCAAGCTGTCGGCCACGGCGGTGGCCCCTGAGAGGGCCAGATGCCCGCCGTCTGACCGGGGGCCCCGCGCCCGAGGCGGAGGCAAGCGTGGCGGCGGGGGCGCCGGTCGCCGCGGACGCCGTGGCGCGGCTGCAGGATGGGGGGCAACAATAGGCTTAAGTCGGGCGTGTCCCCCTAAGTGCAGGAGGAATATTCAAGAACAGTCAAGAATCGTCCGGGGACGATGTTTTGATTCTTTTTCGATGGCTGCGCGCGGACAAGAACGACAGACACGGAAAAACGCAGCTGCAACAGACAAGCACGGGCCGAGAGAGGAGGAGCGGGGCGGCAAGCGCGCGGGGGGGGCATGGCAAGCGGGTCAGCACGGAGGAGGACCATGGACCGAGGACGAGTGTTTCGGGCCTTTTTTGTTGCTTTGGCAGCCCTCGGGCGCGTTCTCATTGCCGGAGCCGTTTCTGAATTTGCTCAGATTGGGAACGCTCCTTTGGACAGGTCATCCGGATAAGGTGGGCTTTGAGCCAAGACCCCTTCGCGTCTGAAAACATCACCGCAGTATATGCTGGGCGATACTCGGCAATTGGGAGCCTGTGCCGTGCTCCAAGAAACGATTCGGGATGAAATCCTGCTCTTGTGGAAAGGGACTGATCTTGGGAGGGTCCACGTTGAGAACAAACTGCGACGTCGGGTGTCTGCGTTTCTCCACTTCCTTTGCCATCCCTCCTCCTTGGGCCTTGGAGGAAGGAGAAGCGATATCACCACCACCAAGGGGGCAAATCTCCAGCGAGGGTGGTCCAAGATGCCTCACCGAAGCCGTGGGTAGGGGAGGTCTCGAGCAAGAGGGGGGGGGGGCCCTCACCGGCAGGAGTTCCCTCCTTGGCGCCTCGCGATGGTGGTGGTGGTGGTGGTGGTGGTGGTGGTGGTGGTGGTGCGGCTTGCCCTTCTTCCTATCCTTCTCATCCCTCCCTCTGCCTCCATCCTCACCCCTCCATGTCCTTGCTCTTATCCACCTCATCCCTCCCTCTTCCCTCAGGAATGGGGTTACATGTGCGCTCCGCCCCCGCTGTCCTCCTCCTTCCTGGCCCCCTTCTCCTCCTCCGGCTCCTCTGCGCTACCTTCGCCACCCGTTCTCGCCGCTGGGCCCCCTTCTGGATGGTGAAGTGCAGCGCTCCCCCCCCCTCTCCTGGTTGCCTCCACGCCGTTGAGCCCTCGCACGCTGCCGAGCCGATCCGCGCCGACGCCCCCTCCCCGCGCCCCTCGTGGCAGGCGCTGGGGAGCCTCTCCTCCCGTCCGCGGTGCTGCTCCGCCGACGAGCCGGCGGGCGGGGTGCGCCAGGCCCCCGAGGCGCCCGCGCGGGAGAGCCCGTCGCGGAGGCCTCCTGCCCGCGCCTTCCTCCGCTGCGCGCCTCGCCTCCGCCGCCGCCCGCTTCCTCCGCCGCCTGCTCTCGGGAGCGCTCGCGCTCCGCCCTCGCCATCGCCACCCATCCCTCCTTCTGTCCTCCGCCCTCCAGCCCCCTCTCCTCGTCCTCCTCCCGCTCCTCCTCCTCCTCCTCCTCCTCCTCCTCCTCCTCCTCCTGGCTCAAGGGGCTCAGTGGGCACAGCTTAGCACAGCTATTGAACAGCTAGCACAGCCAACAAACAATCAAACATGTCGTTACCGAGCGCATGGTCCGCCTGGAATGAAAGACGGCAGGCGGCAGTCACACGCGACATGAACAAGATCGACGTACGCCTCACATCGATACAAATGGCCGTCCAGCAGCTCACGAACAATATGGCAAGCATTTCGAAGACAGCGCGGAGCAAACACGAAAAGCACCATACGCCCCAGAAGGAGTTTGCTGACGTCCGCGCCTTCGCCTTCATCGCCAACATGCGCATCGATCGGATTGAAATGCTTTTGTTCCGGGCCTCGTTGCCAGATATCGCTGCGCTCGATAAGAAGCTCCACCAGCTGATCAACACGCTCCCAACAATGGCATCAGCTCCTTCTCCGTTCGAGTCGAAGCAGATCATTCCTGATGTGAATATGTATGGTGTAACAGACCAGCCCGATAAGAAGTACAGTAAGGCCGACCTTGGAGATGACGGTTTCAAAGGGGCGATCTTCAATGTAATCCCGATCTTCCCAGAGTTGAGCATGCCCCCTGATGCGGAGTCCAACAAGCAGGAAATGACAAACAGATGAAGGACTAGAGGATTGGAGGGACGAGCGATGAGGAGGACAAGAAGGAGGCCACAAAGCATCTGGACGATCACGACGCCTTCGGCGGCGGCGCCGAGGAGGAGAAAGAGGAGTGCGAGAAAGAAGCCCCGGCATGGCTTCAGCAGGCCCTTCAGAGTTGGGATGCCACGTACGGCCACGACGACGACAATGACGGAGCCCGGGGCCACGGCCCCCCCGCGCAGGCCGGTAAGCGGCCCGGCCCGGCCGCATCTTGCGGGCGGGGCGTCTCCGCGCGTCTTCTCTTCTTTTTCGTTGTATTCCGCCTCCTCCTCCCTATCCTCCTCCTCCTCCTCCTCCTCCTCCTCCGCCTCCTCCTCCTCCTCCTCCGCCTCCGCCTCCTCCTCCTCCTTCTCCTCCTCCTGCCGCCCGTTCCGTGATGTCCCTCTCGCCTCCCCCCAAGACGCATGTATGCGGCTGGAGTGAAGCTTGAAAGGCGAGGTTGTGACGTCACGGAAGGGGATGGCTTGCCAGGCGTCGGTTAGGCCGTGCCCTACCCGCAGCCATTTTGGCCAAAGCCGCCAGATGCAAGCCCGATTCCCCGCTCCCGAAGTTGCCGTGCTCGATCCTTGGGATCGATGGGCCGCGCCCGGGGGCGCACTGGCGCGGGACGGCCGATGGAGCCGCCCTGAGCCTCGGCGTGCGCGCGCGCGTGCGCAGAGCGTTTGGGCGGCGGTGCCGCCGCAGCCGCAGCAGTTCGGAGGAGGAAGCAGTACCCATGCAGCTGCCCTCGACCCGTTGCCCCCCTTGAGCGGCCTCCTCGGGGGCCCTCGTCGCCACCGCAGGATTCGCCCCGAGATGCCGTTCAGAACGCACCCTGGGAGCGGTCCGTGGCGCTGGGGCCACTGCTGCGGAGAGGGGCAGGGCGCAGGACATCCGCGCCGATGCCGAGGGCGTCATCGCCTCCCTCCTGGACTTGGTTGGAGGACACGCAGCTGCAGATCCCGCAAATCTCCATCGGGGACTGCGACGACAGCGAAGTGAAGGAGCACGACGGGTGCTACGACTCGGATTGGACCGTGCAGAAGCACGATGGCGGCGGCCAGGTTAGAGGAACGCGCATCCGCGACGTGGCTTTGGGCGGTGTTGGCATGGTGCACCTCGTGAATTCGAAGCTGGCTTACGAGGCACAGGAGAGCTCCAGCGTCCTGCAGGCGGCCCCATTCGGCTAGCCTGGCTGCAGCGACGAGCGTCTGGACCCCATCGACATGACGAGCTTCGAGGACCCGCAGTCCGTCCCCGAGGCGGCGTTGTCTTTCGGGGGCGCTCTCGCGGGCGGGGCCGGCAAGTTGTACGTCGGGGGCTCGTGGTGCCGGCGTTGCCCCCGTGGGCGGCCACGCTGCTGCTGACGCCGGCTGTGCAGGCGGTGGCGTGGAGACTTGGCGCGCCTGCTGGCCTGGCCGGGGCCGCCGAACTGATGAGGTGCACGGTCTCTTGCCCTCACCCCCCCTCCCCTCCCTGCCCCCTTCCTCCGCCGCGGGGCGCTTGTTCGCACGGTGAAAGGGTGCATCGGGGGTTCGCTGCTCGCGGTCGGAGCCGGCAGGACTCGCAGAGGATCCTGAGGGCGGCGAAGAGCGACGGCGACGCGCATGCGCCCACCTCGGCCACGTGAGCTCTAGGAGCGCGCGGAACGCGAGCTGCGACGGCATACTGGTGGGCCCTGTCAAAGTGATGCGCCTACGCGACCAGCAGGGCGGCTTTGTCGGCAACGCGGGGGTCCACGAGGCGGCGGGGGCTCGTGCGATCAACCCCTACTCCTTCAGCAGCCTGCGCGCACGCGCTGGGCGCCCGAGGGGAACGAGGCCATTCCCAAGTTGGCGAGCAGGGCCGCCGGCTAAGGCACGAGTGTTGCGACAGTTGTGAGGACTTGTTCCACCGGGCACATGCGCGTTTTGGCGGAGTTGAGTTCGGTGGCCTTTTTGGCAGATGGCCGACGAATGCAGGGCGACCGATCGTTTCGCTGATGCGTTGTCCAAGCCAGGGTTTACGTCGGATCCGTGGGAGGGTGCACAGCGCGAGTGCGACAAACTCATGGCGAGGAAAGACCGCATGGAAAAGCAGCGGATGAAGTCCAGGACCAAATCATACGAGTTTTTCATGTCATGGTAATTCCACATGTGGAGTGCACTAGCGTCGACTAGCATGTGGTACTTGACGAAATAGCGCCAGTCTTAGCGTTGATAAATATCAGTTCAATGTTGGTAAACCGCGGGAAGCAATTTACGGCCCCGCCCTTTCCAGTGAACCGATGTCGCAGCAAGCGCCTTGAATCCGTTGGCTACTCCTCCTACTACTACTACTACTACTACTACTACTGCTACTGCTACTGCTACTGCTACCGCTACCTCTACCTCTACCTCTACCTCTACCTCTACCTACTACTACTACCACTACTACTACTACTACTACTACTTCTCCTACTACTACTACTACTACTACTACTACGACTACGACTACGACTACTACGACTACGACTACGACTACGACTACGACTACTACTACTACTACTACTACTACTACTACTACTACTACTACTACTACTACTACTACTATTACTACTACTATTGCGACTACTACCCGTATTTTTCATTATTACCACGATTGCCCTTACTCGTTTTACTAATACTACTGATACTACTACTACTACTACTACTACTACTGCTACTGCTGCTGCTGCTATTACTACTACTACTACTACTACTACGACTACTTCTACTACTTCTACTACTTCTACTACTTCTACTACTACTACTTCTACTACTACTACTACTACTACTACTACTACTACTACTACTACTACTACTACTACTACTACTACTACTACTACTACTACTACTACTACTACTACTACTACTACTACTACTACTACTACTACTACTACTACTACTACTACTACTACTACTACTACTACTACTACTACTACTTACTACTACTACTACTACTACTACTACTACGTACTACTACTACTACTACTACTACTACTACTACTACTACTACTACTACTACTACTACTACTACTACTACTACTACTACTGACACTGCTACTACTACTACTACTACTACTACTACTACTACTACTACTACTACTACTACTACTACTACTACTACTACTACTACTACTACCTACTACTGCCATAGCGCCCCTCACGGGGGTAGAAACCAATTGGACCAAGTGTATTTGCTGGGGCGTCACGCTGTCACCCTGCTCATCCTTTCCTCATCATGCTCGTCCTCCTCCTCATCCTTCTCCTCGTCTCCTCCTCCTTTTCCTTGTCCTCCTCCTCCTCCTCCTCCACGTCCTCCTCCTCCGCCTCCCCCTCCCTACCTCGGGCGTGATGGACCATGGGACCTCATGGAGCCTCCTGGTAATCCCGGGGGCCTCCTGGGATAGCAACCTCTGGGGACTTCCTGCGGCCTCTTGAAACCTCCTGGGCTCTCCTAGGGTATCCTCAGCCCTCCAGGGGCGTCCGCAGCGTTCTGGAACTTTTGGGTCGTTCAGGATACGCCCGGAGCGTGATGGGACCTCCTGGGGCCTTGTGGGACCTCGCGGGGCATCCTGGGACCTCCTGGAGCGTCCTGGAGCCTCCTTAGGATTCCCACGGCCTCCGGGGACGTCCTGAAGCCTCCTGGAGCTTCCTGATGCCTCCTGAGACCTCCTGGGGCCTCTTGGCGGCTCTCTAAGAAGCCACGCGCGGGGCCTCAAAATTGGCGACAGTTTCAAGGATGGGAGCCTTCCCATTGAAAAAGAGGGCGCGGTGGACGTTGAAAAATGACGACAGTTACACACTTAAGGCCCAAAACCGTGCCGGGCGCCCCCCCCGCCATTCTCGGTCCTACATACTACGGTGCGATTTGCCCCCTCCCCGCTGTCCCGCCGGTCCCCGGGGGGCTAGTTTTCTGGTTCTCGCTGGTAAGAAACACTTCCCCCCTACCTCTCGGCGGTGACGAGGGCAGGCGGCGGGGGAGAGCGGGTTGGCAGGGTGGCTGGTTGGGCACGGAAAGCAAGCGGAGGGGATCGGCTGGTTGGCGGGATGACGGGGTGGGCGGCTGGGCTGGTTGGCTGACGGGTTCGCTAGGTGGCGGGGTGGCTGGGTGGGCTGGCTGGCTGGTTGGACGGGTTGGCAGGTTGAGCTGGCTAGGGCAATTGGTT